AACAGAGAGGACACCCATTTCACTGAATTCTTGTCACTTTCAGGCAAAGCCAATATCTTTAAAATAAAGATATTTATGTTAAAAAATTATAGAATGAAACATGACTTGTAATTAACATATTCTTCTACTTTCCTGGACAGCAATGTTGCCTTGAGTGAAAAAAGCCTACAGGCACAGTGGGTGAATGACACCCAGACAAAGGAGGGATCTTTGACTGCCATTTCTAGCAGTAAGTTGACCTGCTCATGATATGCTCCCAGCATCCCTTTTCCAAAATATTCAACAAGGATGAGCTCTAGCTATTTTGCAAAAGGCTTTCACAAGAAACTAGTATCTTCATCTCCACCTGTAAAGAAGTTGTCTTTTCTTCGATCTCCCCGTTTAACTTCTTCTCAAGGCCAAGTTTGTTCAGTCTTGACAGCTGTTAGAAGCAATCTCATAAAATTTCAACACTTTAAAGGGTTCCTAAAAATACAACCCAATTCCACCTTTCTAAATGAGGAAACTGAGGTACAAAGATGTTACAGTCATAGAACTCAGTCAGAATCACCCCTTCTACCCAGTCTGATTTAAGCTTCTCACTGCCCATTTGTGTAAAAGTGTGCACAAATCTGGCTGATTCATAAGGCCAAAGAAGAAACATGGATAAGGCTAATAATGTCCCATAGCAAATGCTGAGTTTAGCTTCAATGTAATAGTTTATCCATTTCATGATGTCTGATAAAAATATGCTTCTATATTTCAGATCATTTTAACTTCTTATTTAAAAATAATTTTACACTTAGAAAAAAGTTGCAGAAGTAGTCCTAAGAGTTCACATATACCCTTTACCCAGACTCCCCTAATATTAACACCATTAATCTGAGTAAAAGGATCAAAGCCAGGAAATTACATTGGTATATTACTATTAACTAAACTACAGACCTTATTTGAGTTTCACCAGGTTTCCTGCACTGATGTCCCTTCTTCTTATTCTAAGATCCAATCCAGGTTCCATATTCTAATATTTTTTGTGTCTCTTTGGTCTTTCTTTCATTATCTTGACACTTTTGATGAGTACCAGTCAGTTATTTTGTGAAGTGTCTCTCAATTATTTCAGATCATTTCAGAGACATCTAAATCTCATGGTTCAAAAATGCAGAGACCACATTTTACATCTGGGTCACCTCTATTTAAGTAGTACCTGGGTTTTTTTTTTTTTTTTTTTGCTTATGATCATTCCCTAGATGAATGAGGTGTAATTTGTCATCAGTCATTTGCCAAAATCAGACTTACTATTCTTCAGGTGTCTCTGGAGAATCACCTTGTGATGCATCATGAATAATGAGAAACCATGTCAGGGCAGACAGTGTGAAGGTAAGTAATGTGTTAATCATGAGTCTGGGTTTTTATCTTGTCAGGCTTAATTATGACAGAGTACAGTGGGGAAGCTGAACAACTGGGCACAGTGGTACCATCAAAAGCCATAAAGAGATGTGCGTGTTACATGAAAAGCTCGAAGTACCAACACAAGATAGTGTTTTAATTTTACAGAAAGTTTGTCAACCCCTGTTCTAATGTTTCCTGTTTATCTGTGTTGATAAAGGTGTGTCCTTTATTCTCATTTTTATAATTCGATGTTTGTTTATTGTAATCACATTGCCAAATAAGCCATGGAAGGTGAAGAAACATTTGACTATATTTTGCTAGAACATGATTAGTGAAGACAGAAAGAAACACTAAATTTAAAAAGAGAATAAAATGTCCACTCAGAGATCTGAATTATATCACTTAGATTCACTGATGAAATAAATATTTCTAAAGCATAGCATCACTATTACTTAATCTTGCAGATATCCAATCTGACATTAATATTTTAGTATTTTGTGCTGTCATTTAGTAGTTAAACTTTGCTTAATACGTGGGTTACAAAAATCTTCTTCTCAATATTGCACTGATGTAGTTTGTATCAGAAATTAATGCACTGATGTATCAGAATGTAATTTGTATCAGAAAATGTATTAATATATCAAAAATTAATATATCAAAATACTTTCTAATATATATGAACAAAATTATATTAATTTTAAATAATTGTTTAAAATAATATACTCAGGCCCTGGCTGGTGTAGGTCAGTGGATTGAGTGCGGGCCTGCGAACCATACGATCGCGGTTCAATTCCCAGTCAGGGCACATGCCTGGGTTGCAGGCCGGTTCCCTGCAGGCCAGTTCCCAGCAGGGGATGCACGAAGGCAACCATACATTGATGCTTCTCTCCCTCTCTCCTTCCCCCCTTCCCCTCTAAAGATAAATAAATAAAGTCTTTAAAAAAATAATATACTCATATTTAGTAATAATTATCTTGACAGAGATGGAAGAATGACATTTTTCTACTTTTTTGTATTTTTTATATTTTATATTTTAAAATATTTTATTTCCTTATCTTTAGAGGGGAAAGCAAGGAGGGAGGGAAAGAAATATCAATGTATGGTTGCCTTTCGTGCATCCCCTGCTGGGAACTGGCCTGCAACCCAGGCATGTGCCCTGACTGGGAATCAAACCGCGATCCTCTGGTTCGCAGGCCCAAGCTCAATCCACTGAGCTACACCAGCCAGGGCATATTTTGCATTTTAGAGTCACCAATTTAAAACAAAATTCCTTTAATCCTTGTGAACTTGCTTCCCATTGACTTTTCTCCCCACATACACAAGAGGTATCTGATATGGAAGGAACTAAACCTGAGGTTTAGTGGTTTAAAAATGAAAAGCAAAAGGAAAGGCATAAGCCAAAAAATAAAATTAGAGGCAGAACCAACCTTCCACAGAAGAAAGTCTGCTAACTGTTCTTGGGGGTAAGGGAGACATACACCAAGGCCCTTGAAGTTGAAAAAAGTCACATGGTTAAACAAATTAAATGCTACTTAATTGCCCAGTGGAGCACTTTCTCAGGGGCTAAAGTGAAAAAATTATTTTAGTGACTTCCAAAGAAATATTACATACATCTATTTTTCAAAAGTCCCTAAAGTAATATTAGAGAGGAAATAGTTTCAGGGCAAAACCTGTTTGTCAAGTGAATTTTTAATAATTCTAGAAATAGGCTAAGTCGATTTTTTTCTTCATGTTGCTCATCCTACCAACTTCAACCAAAGGAAATTATGAACTTTTTAAAATTTAACATATTCTATAACTCCTTTTTCAAATAGATCAAGAACCTAAGAAAGGCAAATGTGAGAAATGCTTGTAAAGTCAACCAATGACTGGCAGACATTTTCTTATAAAGAAAAATAGTTAATTCACTGTGAAGGAAAATGCCTAACAATTTACTAGCTGTTGGAATTGTTTAATAATAGCACTTGTGTGACATTAATTGCTATTCTAAATAACATATGGCACAGAAGCAGAAAGGTAAGGTGTCAAAGAGAATTGTGTGTGCTTGCTTATCCCCTGTGGCAAACTGCTAACAGATCACCAATCCTATTTCCTATTCTTTCTGGGCATGCAGTTATCTGATATTTTCCTATCTGCTTTGTGTTTATAGCTGCCATAGTCTGACTTCTGGCCAGTGGGATGTGGGTAGAAGTGATGCATGCTTATTAAAGCCTGGGCTCTACAACTCTCACACCTGCAACACTCCATTTTTTTCTTCTGCTGACTGAATGGAGATGATACTGAGGATCTAAGAGAAAGAAGAGGGCACAAGATGGAAAGAACCACTGCTGCTTGGAGGAAAGCTGCCTGACTAGGAACAACCACAATGGACTGTAGCCAAGCCATCATCCTGTCCCACACACTCTCCCATCTTTAGGCAAGTATTAACTATGTGTAAATGACTAAATCTGCTCTGCCTGTAAGCAGAGAACTGAAGTTATTAGACCAGTTCCTCTTACTTCAGAATTATCTTGCCAAAGGAGGTCTTTCAAATTCATACAAGGGTTCTCCCAACATTCAAAAGTACCACTTATGAGAATACTGTTGTATTTTTTTCATTATGTTTAACTCAAGACAGAGGTAGTGACTCCTGCACTGATAATTACCCACTGGTGAAGAAAATTTGGTAACAATCAAGTTGTTTTGCTATAGCTTGAAATTTATGGTTTAGATTAAATATGGTCATTTGCTGATTAAGTAGGAAAGATCGTGCAGATGGCCCCAACATAAGTTTCAATCTTTTACGAAAAACATTTTCACCCAGGGATACATTTATTGATTTTAGAGAAAGAGAAGGGGGTGGGAGAGATAGAGAGAAAGAGAGAAACCGATGTGAGACAGAAAAATCAATCGGTTGCCTCCTGTAGGCGCCCCAACTGGGGACTGAACCCACAACCCAGGCATGTGTTCTGACTGGGAATAAAACCTGCAACCTTTTGGGATGATGCTCCAATCATCCAAGCCACACCTGCCAGGGCTTACAAAAATATTTCTCATTTGTGATCCTAGCCCAAGAACAAACCTCTTAGGTCATTTTACGCAATCCCTTCTCATTAGGCAAGGTGGATATCTTAAAGATATGGGAAACTAACCTTATAATTTAGACATGTCTGGTATTACTTCTGAGGGAATGAAGAAGAGCACAACAGCATCTGCCACTAACCAATCCCTCTAAGACAAGGGTGTCAAAACTCATTTTCACCAAGGGCCATATCAGCTTTGCAGTTGCCTTCAAAGAGCCAAATGTAATTTCAACTCCTTCAACTCCTACTCCTTAAGGAGCAGTTCTATTTATACAGTCCTAAAAATACATTCAGCCTTTTGAAGGCAACCGTGAGGCTGATGTGGCCCCTGGTAAAAATGAGTTTAACACCCCTGCTCTAATCAACCAGTAATGAGTTTGGACCAGTGATATTAAACCTGGTCAAGTTCTTTTTTGTTGTTGTTGAATGAAAGTCATTAATACGAATTAATTCAAGCTGTTCAGTGCTCTAAGTCCTGGTCACCTGAATCTTGCTATCCCCCCCACCAAAAAAAGGACATTTAATAAAAGGAAGTCAAGTCAGACAATAATGAGGTGCTTCAGACCAAAATAACATTAAATGTTTTTTATTGAACAAAAAGATAAAACATGGAAGTTAAATTCACTGAGTGAAAGCAGCTTACCAGGTGAAGCTGCTATACTTTGTGCTAAATAACCATATGAACTGAGAGTGTACAGAATACATACAATATGGAAGTTACCTCAACAGCAAAGGAGAAGGTGTAGTTTACAGTTTTGGAAGGTAAAATTTGGTCAAGTGATATATTTAGTTGCTCAAAATTTCCAGCCCTTATCCATATAATTCAGCATGATTCTACATATGTGCATTCAGCATATACATACTGAATTCCATTTTAATGGAAGCTGCTTTTTGGAAGAATTTTTAATTGTTTTACATTTGTTTGACATGCCACTCAATTTTTAAAGTTTTATATTTAATATTTCTATGTGCGTATGTATTTATACACTTTTAAAACTCCCAACCCTTGTTTACAAGTGGAGGGGTCATGCTGCTTTTTAAAAATTACTATTGGTGAATTTTAGTTATTCTTTCTCCTGTGTGTCTAAGAAACTTTATATGTTCTCAGTGTACCCAGAGACAGGTGGGTTGACAGATATGTCAAAAATACTTTATGAAAAAAGGGAGGTAGCTCATGCGAGTTGGCAACCTTTTATCTATTGTTTTCTGCTGGAGCAGGCTGCCTCCCTTTGACACCTTACAGTCAAGATGAAAGGAAAACTTTTTTACTTTGAAGCCTAGTTACCACAATTGTACATTTACTATAATCCAGCTTCAACTTAGTTTATTGGGCTTTCTAATGCAAGATGACAAATACCTCATAGCCAGTACACAGTATCAAAAAGGTACTGAAGAAACATTTTAAAGACAGTAACTTGGTCGTTGTTGTTTTTTTGTATGTTAAATGTCAGCTTTTATGGGATACATTTCCAGAATGGTTTTGTTACCACTTTATAAACACTCTAAGCCAGAAAAACAGCACAAGTAATATCAATGTAGTCTTTTTTTCCCCTATATCTGTATCAATTACTGGAGGCTAATCCTAACATATACTACTTAAGGGGGGAAGCAAAAGAAGAGAATCAATGACACATTGCAAAGATAAGACTACAGCATCTTAGTTGTAGGGGTGATCTTAAGGTGCAGAAAGAGGGGACTCTCTAGAAGGTGATGGTGTGGTTTCTTCAGGTGGAAAAACCGTGAGTGTACATGCTCGGATGCCACCAAGGGACTCTGGGAGATCAAAAACCTTATGCCATTCATCTTTATCTGGATCATATTTCTGCACTATCTCTACCATACAACGATTATTCCAGGAATACCCACCAACCACATAGATTTTATTTTCAAAGACAGCAACCCCAACATCACTCTGCCCTCTTAACATGGCAGCAATTGGGGTCCACTGGTCAAGAATAGGTGAGTAGTATTCACAGCTCAGGACATCATCATAATCACTTGTTCCTCTGAAGTGATTGCCACCAATGACATAGAGCCTTTCTCCCACTGTACACATGCAATGCAGACCTCTGACAGTGGTCATTGGTGCCTTCTGGATCCATTTGTCAGTGTCAGGGTCAAAGCACATGAGCTCCTTTTGGAAAGTATCATGAGTAATTCCTCCTAAGGAATGAAAATAATAGACAGATTATTATAAAAATGCAAAAACAAATAAAAGAATCTGTCATAGGTGATTACCTTCTAGCCACAGTTGTGACATTTTATTCTAGCCACAATCAATAGTATTTTTATACATGTCTGCCCTCTATAAATATTTTCCATGGATTAAAAAGAAAAAAATAGCATTTTCATCTTCTCAAAGAACAAAACTATAGTTTATATTATTGCAATGACTTTCTCATATAGAGACCCATGGGACTTAAGAGGTGTTCTTAAAATTTTTTACTGAATGAAAATATATTTTGGCCACTTTTAGAGTTGGGTCTGTAGTAAATTGCAACTACAAAGCATCATTCAGTCCTAATGCTTTTTTATTGGGTACCCTCTGGGCACTGAGCATAGACAGGGCTAGGGCACTTACACTGTAGGTACCTATTAAGAATATCTACTCTAATTATTTCATTAGGACTATAACTATGACTATGAATTGAAATAAATCAAAATGCTTTGGAAAAGTTGATAGTATGTAAATGTACAAGCTTATAATAAGATTCATAATTGTTTGTTTTTGTAGTTTTTGGTGGATGGGGTGAGGGTGGGTGATGTCATGTCCTATCAGCATGAACATTTGCAAAACTAAAAATTTAGAATGCTGAATATATATAGAATTTTGTATGTGTAATTTTGATATCCTCTACAAAGTATATTCTTAGATCACAAATCAGCCTCTATAATTAAACAATCAGGCTATAAGTTTTGCAGATTAGGGAGAGAATTACACTAATTTTCATCCATACCATTCAAAGCTCTACTATCTGGTGGCCAGATAGAAATCACTGTTTTTCTTTTGCTTTTTAATATTTTTCCTGTGATTTACAGAATTATTGGAAAGCACGACAGTGTTCTTTGGTTTAAAAAATCAGTTGTGGTTTCAACCTGCTCTTGATCGTGAAGGTCATGCATGCAACATATGCTAGTCATGCCAAATCACCACTAGAACAATTCAGATGTCATTTTTTTCCCCAAAGGATTTGGAGCTCTCATTATAATGGCATAGCATCTACACACAGAAAATAGGTAGATGGTGTAAATCATTGATTAGTGGAGCATATTATTTCCTGGATGACTCTTTCAATATAAGACATCCCGTACTTGCTCATAAGTTTAACACAAAAACCTGCCAATCACATACTCCAGGCCTTTCAGTGATCCTTGTTAATTACAGATTTGATAAGGCAGTCTTCAGAGACTTAGACCACAAACATCACCTGAGCACCTTTGTTCTCTAATAATGTAACTGCTGGCCTGGCACTAGCAGGCCCTCAAACGAGAGATACTGTCTGAGGTACCCTGTTTCAGGGCCAAATGATAGGAACCTGGGTAACAAAAGAAAATTTCTAAACCAGAGGTAAACATTTCATTAAAATAACACTCTTCTAAATTCTACAGAAGAATGACTTAAATACCAACAGTCTGAAAATGAAAGTTGCTACTGGGACACTGTAAGCAAAGTGTAGCCAGTTCAGAATTTTTTATTAGCAAAACATATGTGCATGTGGCCAAAATGCAGGAATGGGCAAAAGTAGGTTTACAGTTATAAGTATGTGAAACACAGAGTTTATTCTTGTATTATTATTTATTTATTATTGTATTATTATTGTTGTTAGCCTACTTTTGCCTACCCCTGATTATCTTCTAAACTCAACATATATTTTGATTATCCATTTTCTAGATTATTTCATTAACATTATATAGAAAGATGGTGACAGTTAAAAAGTTTATATATTATACTAACTGTGCCTGAAGCATAATTGTTTACCTGAAATATACATTACTCCTCCGTACACAGTTCCAGCATGACCATAGTGGGGTTCGCTCATTTTGGCAACATAGGTCCATTCATTTGTTCTTGGATTGTAACATTCTACTGTAGCTGTTGTTTAAAAAAAAGAAAATGATATAAAATCTCAAATTTAGCAATTTTTTTCTTTCAGGTAAGACACTAATAATAATATCCAAATAACTGAAACATATTATAGATATGAGGTATTCTTTGGAGATCTCATGTTAATTATTGAGGTTATATTAATAATTTGAACCTAGTATAATGCAGGTTACACTAGACTAGATACTTAGTGTAATAATCTAACACATTTCTTTCACTGCAGAAATCACTAAAATTTCTTTTCTTCTTGTATCTTTATAATCTGACATTTCTCCCATTTCTAAGAATGTGGGAAGATGACAAAAATCAGAAGGAAGTAAAACATTCCAATTCTAGGCCCCTGTGTTGATATACCATATAGGTAAAAAAGGTTAATAGGTATAAAGCAATGAGATACCACTTTGCACCAGTCAGAATGGCCATCATAAATAAAGCAACAAACAACAAGTGTTGAAGAGGTTGTGGAGAAAGGGGACCCTAGTTCACTGTTGGTGGGATTGCAGACTGGTACAACCACTATGGAAAACAGTATGGAGTTTTCTCAGAAAACTAAAAACAGATCTGCCTTTTCACCCAGCAATTCCACTGCTAGGATTATATCCTCAGAACCCTGAAAGCAAAATTTTAAGTTGAGAAAAAAGTATGTACATCGCCTGGTGTATGTTTTCATGCCTATTGCTTTATTTCATATCCAGACTAAAAAATGGACACTGACAATAATTTTTCTACATCTATACATTAAAGCCAATAGTTTGTACATGTCCAACACTGTTGCAGCCAGTACCGCTCTTAACTTGAAAGTAACTGGCAGCATAATATAAAGCTAAGATTTTTATTATGGGTACTTCCTCTCAGCAATAAATTTACCAATAATAACACACAGTATTTTGGAAAAAATACCTCAATTTATTTAAATATCAATTTGTTGTAACCTCAAAAATAGAACGACCATCCAAACCAATAGAAAATGTGAGCCTTTTTAAAAAGCATGAAGTCTAGATTGACTTGAAAAGTTTATATGATTTATTGCAGACACTGACAGTTGCTAATCCAATTCCTTGCCTCCCCTAACCCTGCTTTTTTATTACTAACCATAACACTCTCAGGGAAGCACTGTACCAAATTTAAAATAAAATTCGAATGATCAGGTCCCCTTGAAACTGGAGTTGATTGTATAATACAGTTCTAGACAGTGCAGCTTTTTGATCAAGCTACTAGAATAAGGTTTTGCTGCTTGTAGACAAATGACATTCTAACTGATAAACCATCCTTTGAACAAGGTTTCCTGTTAAAAAGACAACATGAGAATGGGCAAAACTAGAGACAGAGATTGACAGAATAATTTTCTAGTCTATTTGATAATTTCATTTCTTCATCAAATCCACTATGTCAAGTACTCAATTCTCTTCTAACAACAGCTATATTATACCACTTCATACCCTTTTACTAATTTTTTCCCACTTACTTTAGGTCTGAGTTTTCAGTCTTATTTCAAAGGCTTTCACTATTCTCATTCTGACCTACTCTCCTGTTACTCTTGTTCTTTGCTCTAGGCTTGGACTCTTACCAACTCTATTTCTTCTAAACCCTTCCATCAAGTAGCAAGATCCTGCAAAATCTTTCCTCCAAATAAGGTGGGGGAGTATTTCACAATTAATGATGAGCTAAAACTGCCAAATACTGCCCTACTATCTTTGACTATGTCCAGTCACTGATGTCTTTGTAAATGTGCATTTCCATTTGCCTTTAGCAAGACTTCGAGCTACTCGACAAAAAAAAATCCTACTGAATGTACATTACTATCTCTTTCTAGTCTAATGATAACACTTGGCATCAGCAAGGTAATTAATGGTAGGATTTTAACTGATAAAAAAATGTAGTCCAACCATACATCCCATCACTAAAAGGGTTTTAGAGGGCTTCCAGAGATCATCTTTCCCATCTATTTGAGGTCAAAGACTATTTTACTATAATTCTAGGTTTTTTTAATGAACTCTGCTTTGACCTTTGATATTTCTAGAGTGTAATAGTCTTGCCTTATGTCTAATTAATCTGTTTTGATGCAGTCTCTACTAGTTTCCTCTTATTCCTTTTATAGTGAAGCTAGAGATTGAATAGCTATTCACTCTCTATAATCACTAAAATTTACCTATGTAGAAAGATAATGTTGTATTTCTCAGTGAGTTAATTGCATTTTTCCTAGTAGAGGTTATAAGAATCTATCTATGCATATATCTACACATATATTATCCACCTATAAATATGTATAATCTCTCATACAGAAGCCCCTAAATGGAAGATGGCTATTAACCACCAATATTTCCACCAGCAAGTTCATCATTCATAAACTTGTTTTCTTCCAGCTAAGTAATCCATCTCCATTAGCATTTCCCACCATTTAATCTCTACTTTCCTCACACAGAATGGTTATTATTAGTAGTAAAGTCAATAGTGTTTAGTTTTAAAAGAAAATATATCTAATTTAAAAGTATATCTATAGATCTTTATTTCTATTTTCCATATTTACAAGGTTAGTGCCACAACTTTGATAGTGGAGAAGCAGGGATAATGCAAGGCAAGGAGTTGGAGCCACAAAACAATGGTTCCATCATAGTGCATGAGAGATGGGAATGGTAATGAGGTAACTGGGAAAATCTAGAACAGGAGTCATGCAAACTACAGCTAGAAAGTAAAATCCAGTATGCCATCTGCTTTTGTATGATCTACAAGATAAAAATGAGTGGATTTTATATCTTTAAAGAGTTGGGGAAAAGTCAAAGGAAGAATACATGAAAATTATATGCATTTCAAATTTCAGTATGTATGTGTAAAGCTTTATTGGAATGCAGCCTCCTCCTATTTGTTTATACATTGTCTATAATTGCTTTTGCAATGTAACAGTAGAGTTGATTAGTTGTGAAGACTTCCCATATTCAGTAAAGCTGAAAATATTTTTTCTGGACCTTCATAGAAGTTTGTTGACCCTTATCATCTTCAGTAGTCTGGTGACCTGATTTAAATTAGAGACCTTCTCCAACTTAAGAATTACACTTAGGTTGGTTGTTCCACATGTATTACCAGAAATCTTATTTTCTCAGGTGATTCTACTGGAGTCCAGAAGTAGTCCCAAGAGATGATGTGGAATTTACAGGTTCTTTGAAATTGAGAAAGAGATTAAGCCTCAAGAAAACCATTTGGACAATGATGGCTCCCATAGAGGGAGGATAGGCTCTAGAATCCTAAAGTGCTAGTTGGTGATTTGCTGCTTAAAGAAGAAAACCCCAAAACTCCTTAAGGGATATGGAGACATCTGATAAATTGCAGCAAGTTTATAGTACATTTATTTGAAAAAATTCAAACATGTGTTCTATAAGTTATTTCATTATTTGAAAATTTGGCTTAATATATAACTGAAATAAAAGATAACTGAGCTGTCTATTTCTCCTCAATACAGAAAATCTCAATGGAAGATCGATTGCTTATGTGACATAATTTTAAAAGGTGCCAGAAATAACTGACTCCTTTTTCATTTAAGTGACAGCTACTCTTAAGCTTCCCCTAGTTTCCCATTGTACCCAGTGTCAAAGTAAGGCAACATTTCTGTGGAATTACATTTCAGCAATATGCCAGGCTCATACACAAACTTGTAGTGATTTTAAAAGACCAAATTCATTCAAATGATCTAAAATGCCTTGCAAATATTGTCACTTTTCTTCTCATAATTATATATAGGTAATAGTTATTGCATGTATGAAGAATAAATGATGTACTTGTACTAAACCTATTAAATTGTTAAAAGACTCTCCCATCAGTCCCCTTTTCCTGGCACCCATTCCCAACTGCCTTCTCTATTTATAAGGCATATTAACATATCAACATAATCAGTTAAGATAGAAATGTTAAGTAATTACAATAAACATATATATGTGTATGGAGGGTGGGGTTCCATAAAAATGCTTATGGAGCAGGAGAAAAGTTAAAAGTTCTGGCTGGAACATTCAGAAATAAAAGCAAGCATTTCTTTAGAACAAAAATCTGGTATTATACAAAAACAACAAGCCCAAGAAAACTGAAAAGGGCAAGTGAAACACACTTTTTAAAAAATTTATACAAAGAGCCACATTATTAACAGAATTCAGAAGAACTCAGCGATGCTGTTCTTTTGGGAGGTAAATAGGGCAAGTTAGATCAAGCTTAGCTATGTCAAAAATAAAGAAAATGACAAGATGGGATAGTTGATTTCTTGCTCCCATTTGGGTATGGCATTAGGAGGAACTCTAAGGAAGTGGTTGAATTGGGGAAAAAATTAAGCCTTTTGCTTCTTGGTTTTATGTAATGTCTTTTCTTTTGCCTGAAAATTCTCTTCTGGAATCAAGACTTTTACTTTCAGTGTGCTTAACAGGTCAATCACACAATTTTGTAAAATTTCCAATATATGATACATTAACTTAAATAATACTGACTGGATTTGCTGGGTGTGCTGATTTTTGAGGGAAGCAATCATTTCCTATAAAAGTTTAGTTACTTACAGATTATAGAAGATGATTTTTAAGGGAAAGAATATCAAATAGTTTAAATGTGTTTTTCACTTTCAAACTGAAACACAAAATACTGTTTTTAATAAGAGATGGAGGTGATGTCACCTATAAGTAGAACCCATTCAACAAAACAAACAACCAAGCAAAATATAACCACAGACATTGAAATTAAGAACAAACTGACAGTAACCAGAGAGGAGGTGGAAGGGGATAATGGGGGGGGGTTAGGAATCTATAAAGGGCACATGGACAAAACCAAGGTGGGGGTGGGATTGAGGGTGGGAAGTGGGGATGGCTGGGGTGGAGGGGAATGGTGGAGGGGAAATGGAGATAAGTGTAGTTGAAAAACAATAAAAATATTTTAAAAAATAAAATAAATAAAAATAAAAATTTAAAAAATAGATGGAGGTGATTCCTGAAGGCCACGAGCAAGAAAGCCAGATACTTGCCCAGTGGGGTAGTCTGCGTCTCATTCTCCACTAAGCATAACATGGGAAGAACATTGGAAAAAGAAAACCTCTAGCTTCTTGGTTATATGTAATGACTCTCCTTGGCCTGAAGATGATATATTCTCAGAAAAATAAGGCCTCTAATTAATATAAGGAATATATATTGAAAACTTAATAGCTGCACATTAACAGGGGTGATAACATCAATAAGTAAGTACTGACAGAAAAATGGAGCTATTGCTTTTGAGAAAAAATTCAAAATGACCACTGAGTACCAGGATTGATGACCTATAATTTGTCAACTCGTAAAAATTATCTTAGACAAGTGGCTTTTCTAAGAAAGCACCAAGTCACTGCCTGTACCTTGTGGATATTTTCAGACATCATAAATTTAAAATAGTATAACATGAAAATAATGTGCAGGGGTTGACTGAGGAGGCCTGAAATGACAATTTTATACTAAAGGTACTAATGCCTCAGATGCTTTTAAAAGTCTGATTATTAAAATATATTGGGAAACCTGTGTGGCTCGTGATCATGGCACCTCGTCCAATAATCTAAAAAGTTTGGCCTCAGAAAACAATATGACTGTGATAACAAAGGAGAAAAAACTGCAGGTGGGAAAGATTAGTAACATTAAGATCGTGTCACTAACAAGAAAGGGCTTGATAAGCTGAAAAGTTTAAGAGTTGAGAGCAGTTAATTTTGTATCCAATAAACACCTTACTCTCAAATCCATTAAACTAACTTTTATTTTGTAGAATACTGAAGAGAAATATTCTAGTAATTACTATGAATTTATTTAGAGTCAGTATGTTAAACTTCCCCAGCATTCTGAAGCCTAGAATACTAGACAACTATAAGCATTCTATAACAGAAAATTCTTAAATAGGGGGGAGAAGGTGAAATAAAAAGGCAAACAATGATAGTAGTGACAGACACTTTAAAGCATGATATAAAATGTGGTCTTCCTGACTTCCCATTTACCTAGCTTACTCCAATTTTATCTAAAATAACAGAAATATACCTTCTAATTTTAATTTATATAGTCAATGCATTGCTATGTTAACTGTACATGTGACCAATCTTAGATTAGGACAAAAAAGGGACCATCAAATAAAGTTTATCAGATCAGTTTACAGAGAAGAAAACTGGTCTTTTACCAAGAGAGAATGATTTTTAAAGCTAATAGTCACAGATTATAATACTCACAGTAAATAAACTTTGGAGAATGTTGAACTTTATACAATTAATAAAAAAATTTATCTTACTGTGTGGTCTCTGATAGGTAACAGATTTTTTTGAAACAAACAAACAAACAAAAAAAAAAAACAAAACAGAAGCCAGTGCTCTATAAGGAAGAATTTTAACCTTTTCAGTACAATATTATGAGGGTCTTTAAAAATGAAAAATGAAGAAACATGCCAAACCTCTGTCCAAGATTCTATCAGAATTTAAATTACCAGAATACTTTGTAGTTGAATTTTTCAAGATGAAAACCATAAATGCTGCACAAATCAAATATTCTGTAATGTACTGATGTAATTTGTACTGTGGCCAACAATATATACCCAGATAAGGTATATTCTTTGTCTCTAATATTTTCTAAGAAAAGCAGTTAAAAAATGAAACCCTAACTACATTTTTTAATTCTCACCCAAGTGCAATTTTTCATTGCTTTTAGAAAGAGAGGCAGTGGAGGGGCTGAGGGAGGGAGGGAGGGGGGCAGACAGAGAAAGAGAGAGAGAGAGAAGGAGATCAATTAGTTGTCTTCTCATAGGCTCCCTAAAGGGGTATCAAACCTGAAACCTGGGCATGTGCCCTGACTGGGATTGAACCTGCAACCTTCCTGTGTATAGGATGAAACTTCAACCAACTAAGCCACACTGGCCAAGGCCTAACTGCATTTTTAATTTTTCATTTTATAGAACTGTTTAGTTTATGATTGCACAAGAATTTGGGGGTAAAGACACTTACGCAGTTCACCAGCTGCATTTCGTCCACCAACAGCATACAGATATCCTTTGAGGGCACTTAGGTGGAAGAAGGTGCGCTTTTCATTTAAAGATGCAACTTGCATCCATTTATTGTATCGAGGATCAAATCTGAAGACTGTATCAACAGCAGTTTTTCCTTTTGTGTCATAATTACTCTGTCCACCAACGACATAGAGGAAGTTTCCGATGACGGCAATGCCATGCTGGTACCTTGGGGCATCCATGGGGGCTAACGATTTCCATTCATGGGCCTTTTCATCATACATACGTAATTCCTTACTGACTACCAGCTGCTGCCTCAGCACTCCTCCTAGTGTAACCAAGTGAGTGGTGTCAGATCGAATGGCAGTCCTGTCTGACTGCATAACTGGCTGCATATATGGCATCATTTGGTAATTGCTGGCTTCCAAAAGAAGATTCACACAAGTATTGTCAGTTCTCATGAAATCCACGGTTTGCACGTAATTAATGAGCTCTTGTGGTGTCATCAGCGGAAATCGGATGTTCTTCATTAATTTTGCAGCAAAGTCCATCCGAGGCTCTTCCAGGCGTAGCCAGCGACAGGTAGCCTTAAAAAGCTCAAGTTCAGTGCAGTGCTTAAGGCTATTACTGGAAAGCACGAAGGCAAGCCTCTCAAAAGGGAGTTTCAGGAACTCTCCAGTGCTCAACAATGCAGGAAAATTCTTCAAGACAAAACTGTTCACGTATTTATCCACTTCTGTCAGATTGTAGGTGTTGGCAATTCGCCCCACTTCAACACAATTGTCTAAAGTAACCTATTAAGCCAATAAAAAAATTAAAATGTGACTACTTTCATGACCCTCACATCTGAGTAACATAAATACCTGTTCCAGAAGAAGAGTAAATGATGCTTTTTATTGTCAATACAGATGCAAATAAAGATTTTTATCTTAAAACATTAATGATCTAAAGAAAACTCACCAACAATTTTTATATAATCCAGGAGGATGGCTAAAAGAAAATAACCATTCAAAGTCAGTAGGTTAGGAGTTACTCTAAGAAACAATGTTATCACTTCACTATGGCCAAAATAAGTCCTCAATGTCATCAATAGGTTCCTGGAACTGTGGTGGAATGACATATGATGAAACCAATTTTACCACAGGCTAATGGATATAAACAAGAGCTCAATTTCTACTGCACCTCATCAATTTTATAATGAAACAATATCATTCAAGAGCCTGCTTTACTTTTCTCTCCTTAAAATGGTGTGTTCTCTCTCTCTCTCTCTCTCTCTCTCTCTCTCTCTCTCTCTCTCTCTCACACACACACACACACACACACACACACACACACACACACACACACACAAATACTAATAAAATTCTGGCCAGATGGAAATTTTGAAAAAATACAGGGTTATTCTATTATAATTCATCTCAATCCTCTTCTCAGTCATGATTCTTAAAAATAGTTTAGCTAGCAGATCCACTAACAGAAAGCTTAATACCTGATTCTTAGATTTCTGTTTCATATAAATGGGCATCATTCATTACTATCCCTTTATTCATTGCTATTCATTTTGATTCCTTCAAAAGTTATTGCTTACCATAAAAATAATTCAATAGGACAGATACTCTTAGAGCAATGTTACTTTCCACATTATTTGGAAATATAAGAAAGGGAATTGCTTTCATGAGGGTTGGAATAGATGTGTGTTCATTAAATTACTCATAAAGTTTAGTTAGTTTCTGGTATCTCTATGTCCCATGTAGCTTTCCTTAGCCACTGTCTTACTCTCACCATTACTCTAGCTCTGCCTGGAGTCAAAATGAGACCAGAAAAGTTTCCTCAGTGTAGTGCAAAATATGCCAAAAATAGAAACCAGGAAAAGGAAAGAAATTACAGAAAGACCCCTCTTCTGTAGGAATGTTTTAATACTCTAATAATTGAGTGGTCAAAAGTGAAAAAGGAAAAGTCATATCGGCAAATATTATACAAAGAATATTATACAACTCAAAGCACAAGTCTACCATACAAATGTCTGGCTGTGTATACAAACACAGAGACAGGTCCCAGGCAAAGTACTCAAATGTTTTTAATTTAGTCAGCATATATGTTCACAAAGGTTACATAAACCTCATTAGTGAAACTGTATGGTTAACAGATTGGCAGATGGTTAAGAGAAAATTTGGTAATACTTCTATTATCCTATTATTTAAAAACTGAAATGAGACTAAAATCATTATTCCTATGCATAAAATAACAGCCTAGATCAGATATAATACCACTGAAAGTTCTCTTTTTTCCCCTGATACTTTAGAAATTTTATTTGAGTGCACATTTCCCTCCATAACATCACATCACAAAATTAAATGACTGCAAATATAACACAAGTGTTAAAAGCATTCAGCTCAGGCTAGGTAGTAAATAATGAGTGCTAATTCTTTGTAAAAAAAAAGACTTTCACATTTGTTATCTGCAGTTAGATAATAGTTAGCCAACTGAACATGAACTGGGCAGGGGGTCATTTTTTATAGCAATATGGAAAAGTTTTTATTTAAATAAATAATAATAACAAAACGAGGTACACATATAATACTAACTTATACCAAGCCCTACTCTAAGATCTTTTATAGAGATTTCCAGTCAAGATGGAGGCTTAAACACTTCTCATATTTGCACAACTACAGCAAAAATTACAATTAGATTACAAAACAAATATCATGCAGAATCATCAGAAAATCAAACTGTATGGAAGTCCAAAAAGAAAAGACTTAAAGAAGCCACATTTATCCAGACAGAAACAAGGGGCAGAGATGCAGAGATACACAGAGAAGCTTGGTGACATGGAGTGGTGCACAGATACATGGAATGAGCAGTCCTACACCCATGTGTGGTGGATAAAAATCGGGAGAGATACCTCAGGAGTGAGGGATCCCAGCTCCATACCAGACTATACAACCCAGGGTTCCAGCACCAGGATTATAAGTCCCCATATAGCTTCTGGCTGTAAAAACCAGTAGCAAAAGAAACTGCAGGATTCTCAGAAGACTCTTCTTAAAGGGTCCACAATAAACTTACGACTTACGCAGATCCACCCACTCTTGGATTCAGCACCAGGGCAACAGCTGGAAGGGCACCAGTGGAATACAGGGAGAAATTGAAGTTACTAGCAACAGGGCAAGTGCCAGAAACAATCTTCCTCCTAGGCAAAACTCCAGAGACCAGGCAGTGGAATTGTCCCCTCTGCAAGCCCTTATTCACACAGAGCCACACAGCAGTGACACGGGTTTCTCTGCCCTGGCAATTACCTAAGGCTCTACCCCATACAACTTACAGGTGCACTTTTCTACAATAGGTCACACTACTAAGACAGGGAGTCAAAGCAGCTCTACCTAATACACAGAAACAAACACAGGGAGGTTGTCAAATTGAGAAGACAAAGAAACATGGCCCAAATGAAAGAACAGATCCAAACTCCAGAAAAAGAACTAAATGAAACAGAGATAAGCAATCTATCAGATTCAGAGTTCAAAGCACTATCTATCAGAATGCTTAAGAAACTCATTAGGTACTTCAAGAGCATCAAAAAAGACCCAGGTTGAAATAGAGGTTACATTAAGTGAAGTAAAAATCTACAGGGAACCAACAGTGGAGGGGATGAAGCCAAGAATCAAATCAATGATTTGAAACATAAGAAAGAAAAAAACATTTGATCAGAAAACAAGAAGAAAAAAGAAGTAAAAAAAATAATGAAGATAGTGTAAACAACCTCAGGGACAGTTCACTCATTCCAACACTTGAATCATAGGGGTGCCAGAAGAAGAAGAGAAATAGCAAGAGATCAAAAACTTATTTGAAAAAATAATGAAAAAAGGTTCCCTAATTCGGTGGAGGAAATAGACATACATATCCAGGAAGCACAGAGAGTCCGAAACACGTTGGATGCAAGGAGGACCAACCAGAACGCGTCATAATTAAAATGCCAAAGGTTAATGATAAAGAGAGAATCTTCACCTGATCTTAGGCAAAAGGCCAAGAAGTGATAAAAGAGACAATCTTAAAAACAGCAAGAGAAAAGCAGATAGTTTAGCTACAAAGGAGTTCCTATTAGACTGCCAGCTGATTTCTCAAAAGAAACTTTATAGGCAAGAGGGGACTAGCAAGAAGTATTCAAGGTCATGAAAAGGAAGGACCTACAACCTTGATTACTGTATCCAGCAAAGCTATAATTTGGAATGGAAGGGCAGCTAAAGTGGTTCCAAGACAAAGTAAAGCTAAAGGAGTTCACCATCACCAAGCCACTATTACATGAAATGTTAAAGGGATTCATCTAATAAAAAGAAAAAGATCAAACCTAAGTACATGAAAATGGCAATAAATTCACAACAGTCAACAACTGAATCTAAAAAACTAAGCAAACAAGCAAAACAGAAATAGAATCATAGATATGGAGATTGTTTGGAGGTTTAACAGTTGGGAGGGGGAAAGGTGCAGGGATTATGAAGTACAACTTGGTAGGTACAGAATGGACAGGGGTATATTAAGAACAGTCTAGGAAATAGAGAAGCCAAAGAACCTATATGCACAACCCATAAACATGAACTAAGGGGGGACTGATGAAGAGAATGGGGGTACCAAGCAGAGTGGGGAAAATGGAAAAAATTGGAATAACTATAATAGCATAATCAACAAAATATATTTAATAATAATATTTTATAAATACTGATAAATTAAATTTATATAACAACTCATGAAATAAATAGTATGCTATGCTCATTTTAGAGATGAGGCACAGAGCAGGTAAGCCATTAGTCCAAGTTGACATAGCAATTAAAATGGTGTAGCTAGGACTGGAACCCATGCAGTCTAGATCAAGAATCTCAGTGTTGGTATGTTCCAGCCATTACTCTTGGTGGCTAACAACATCATTCAGAGCATTGGATGTTGGGAAGATGGCGATGGAGTAAGATGGAGCTGATGCTAGCTCCTGTACTTATGGGTGAAAATCCTGACAGATCTATAAAGAAACAGCACAATAAACCATCAGTTACCCAGCATTTATGAAATTAAAAGACCAGAGATTGTGACTGACGCTGAAACACCAGATGGCGGAAGAGTCAGCTACTGGAGCTGGGTCTCACGCGGCCCCTGTGCTGCCGCCAGAGCAACAGGCCTGGGAGCCGGGAAGTCAGGTACAAGAGCCGGACACTCCAGGCCCCTGTGACGGTCCTGGGAGACAGAGGAGTCAGGAACTGGAGCTGGGATATTCTCGGCCCTGGTGCCGATGCCATAGCTACCAGCCTGGGCAACGGAAGGGTCAGTTGCAGGAGCTGGGACACCAAAGGCCCCTGTGACGCGGCCACAGAGACAGGCCTGGGCGCTGAGGAGCCAGCTACTGGAGCCGGGACGTCCTCAGCCCCTGTGCCGCTGCCATAGCGATGGGACTGGATGCCAGGGACTCAGGTACGGGAGCCAGGACAATCCAAACCCCTGTGATGCAGCAGAGGAGCCAGCTACAGGAGCCGGGATATTCTCAGCTCCTGTGCCGCTGCCATAGCGACGGGACTGGATGCCGGGGAGTCAGGTATGGGAGCCGGGATGCTCCAAACCCCTGTGACGGCCCTGGGCAGCAGAGGAGCCAGCTACAGCAGCGAAACATTCTCAGCGCCTGTGCCACTGACATAGTGACTGGACTGGACACCGGGGAGTCAGGTACGGGAGTTCGGACATTTTAAGCCTCTGTGCCACTGCCATAGAGACAGGACTAGACACCAGGGAGTCAGGTACAGAAACCGGGAAATTCCAAATC